CGTGTATTAATGATATATATTAAATTTATTATCTTAATGTCTAACTAATTAAAATGAATTTATTATTGTCAATCAAAAATTATAATATTAAATAATAATATAATATTATTATTATATACGGGAAAAAGAATAAATTAAATCTAAGAATATCGGAAAATTTATTATAATATTAAATAATAATTTAACATTTATTATTACAATGACTCATATATAACATTTCAAAATTATGTATTTATTTTTTATGTTTTATTATATTCGATTTGTAATAAATATTTTTCAGTTTATTACAAATTTTCAATAATTAAATATTAATGATATTATATAAAATTAATTTCATGAAATAAATTTATTTAATAAAGTGTTATATAAATATTTAATACATTATATTATACTATTAATTTATATAAAATGATATTAACTTATTCCTTTTTATAAAATTATTGTAATTTTTTTCCGGTTTATAAGCATGTTGAATTCGTGTCCATTATTAAAATATATGTAATTTACTATTATTGATATAAATAATTTTATAAATAGTTTAATTTATTACATTTATAAAATTATTTGTAATTTATTCACCTTTATAAAATTAATTATAAATTATTTAATTTATTAAAATGATTGTATCAATAATTTTTTATTTTATCATAAATTTTTATGATTATCATTTATCATTAAATTTTCATGATTACCATTTAATATTTTTTTATCATGATTACAATTATAAAGTTAATTTGAAAAGATTATGATATATTTTAGTTATTTCATAAACTTAAAAAAATTATCAAATCTCAATTGATTTTGTTTTGTTTTATTAACCTTTTTATAGAAATTGAAATAATTTATTTTAGGTCAAATAAGGATCTAAATAATTACAAAATAATATTTATTCTTACATTTATAGAATGATAAATTAAATATTTAAGATAAACATTAGAGTTCTTATTTACTTTATCTTTTATATATTTATAATATACTTTTTTTGTTAATTTTATTAACAATATATTTATAGTTAACAATACATCATTTAAATTACGTTATTTTTTTCAAGAATATAAATGTAACCTTTCAAAAAATATACACAAATATATTTAGAAGTCGGTAGAAAATTTTATTGGTTAAATTATAATTCCATTCAAAATTTATTGATCATAAATTTTTGAAATCAAATCATGCATAAAAATAAATTGTATTAATGTGACCATTCAAAATATTTTCTATATATAATAAAAATAAATAATATTAATACCTCCATTCAAAAGATATATTTGTAAAGTTTTGATTTAATTTTTTTCATATCTTTATATATTCTAATGTATATAATATTCCTACAGTATGAAACAGTATCAAACCTATAATATTAAAAGAGAATTCAAATTTTATTGATCATAATATTTTATGGAATCAAATCATATATAAAAATTAAATATATTTATGTAACCATTCAAAATAATTTTCATATAAGTATAATAAAAATAAATGATAATAATGTCTCCATTCAAAAGATATATTGGTAAAGTATCCAATTAAATGGTACTCCAATATTTGATTAAAAAATTGTAATATTTGTTTTTAATATTGTATAAAAATATATTAATTAGTCGTACTTTAAAAAAATAAATCGTAAATATTTTATTAAAAATTATAATATTTGTTTCTAAAATTATAGCAATTAAAAATAAAAAAAATGGAGAATGGAGAAGATTGAGGAGTGAAACAGTAAGGGTTTAGAATGACTATATATAGGATTTAGAATGCGAGAAGTTGTGATATCTTGGAATATCAAAATAATCTATTCTAATTCCAATAATATACATTTAATAATGATAAATAGTGGGTATTTTTAAATCCTGCAATGAATAATATTTCATTTAATTATAATAGATCTAATTTGGCCATTCAAATTCTTCCTCATTAACCGTGAGTCAAACATTAGAATTCAAATTCTGTTTAAAAAAAATATTGGAATTCAAATATAAATAAATTAATCGTGAATGAAACATTGGAATGGAATTCAAATATAAATAAAATTCAAATATAAATAAAATAAATTAATAAATCAAATAAATAAAAAATAGTGTAAAATTATGATAGATTGACATGTCAGCAAAATTAAATGCCAAATGAATATGGTAACAGCATAGTGTTGATTAGTCTATTATACCCTTGAAATAAGAAAAGTTATAACATCTAATCAAAAGTTAGACTTGGAATTTCCAGATACTTTACTTTTAATAGATTGATAATAGATAGATAATAGATAATAGATAATAGATAATAGATAATAGATAATAGATAATAGATAATAGATAGATAATAATAATATTAATTAAAAGTATATGTTAACAACTTCTTGCATGTGGTTTAAGATTTGTACTAACTATCAAGAGTTCATCAATATGCCATTCCTTCCTATATAAAAATATATAGTTGTGATCAAGTCAAAGTAAAATAAAAAATGGCAACTTCACTTTGAAAAACTTAAAAATTCAGAACAAAACTAACTCTCAAATTTCCAAACATAAATTCAAATAAATTGTTTTTAACATTTACATTTGTTTCTATAATTCAGAGAAAAATCAACACTCAAATTTCCAAACATATATTGCTTCACCAAATGACTATCAACTACCTGCCCATCTAAAAGACTGCCTTGTTATACCACGAACCAAACTCGTAAAAACAACATCAATATTCAGTATCATTATAAGTACATGATACTTTATTGCTAGGTTTTTCTTGATTTTCTTTTTATTCCAATGTCACATGGAAACAACTACAAGTAGTGACTAAGACATTCGTAGCACATTTCTTTTGTGTCGAAATGTTTCAAATTATTTAAAAGTCATAATGGTTATCATTAAAATCAAAGTTAGACAATAAAACTGGATCCGAGAACTATAATGGGTAGTCACCATAATATGATCCATCATGAAATTCAATTTCAAATGGATAGTCACCATTAGTGTCATCATTTGGAACCAGTAAATACTTGATTTGTTCTTTACATCTCTTTTCCAAACTCCCTACCAAATTAACATTGAAATAGTGACGAATGTCAAGAGATTCAAGGACATCCGTCAAGATTATGGAGCTCGACCTGTCTGTTCTTGCTCCCATAAAAGGTCTGACTGCTTTAGAGACCGACATTTTAAACTCTTCATATATCTTTAAGTCCCGTATCAAATTTTGAAGTCTAAAAACTAGTATTTATAAAAGACTCTTACACTAGGTTAATGCATTGTTAAAGATTAGACTACTCTTGAAATGAAGTTGCACTATAGGCCCAAATATATATTTTAAAATATTAATATTTAATTTCTAAATAAATATTTATAAAATAAAATTATTAAAAATATTTAATTATTAAAGAATATTAAAAAAATAAAATAATTAATTTTTAATGACGTGACAACAACAAAATAATACCACTTTATAAATTTCAATTTGACATATGCAAATAAGACTGATTTGTCATGAGGACCTCAAAAAAATATGAAATTTAATACTAGGAGATCATAAAACTGTTTTTTTTTTTTTTTTAATTTTTAAATAAAGACTGAAAAATTATTAAAATAGATATAGGAGAACTAAAACTGCATTTAAACTTATTTTTTAATTGTGTATAATTTTTAAAAATTTCCTAATGCTTGAAAATTCCATTTTTATAATTTTATAACTAATTAATTCTTCAAATATTCTAAAAGAATCATTAAAAAGTCATAATAATTTAATTTTCTTTTACAAAAATAATAATTAAATTTATTATTTAAATATAATTAATTATAAATTATAATATGATTTATAAATTATAAATCATAATATAAAAGTAATAAAAAATAACATCAAAATTAATTATAAATGTATATATCATCAAGTGGACTGCTATGTTATTAAAACTTAACGTTAAATTAAAAAGAAGTTTAAAATCGACAAAAAATGAAATGGAAGTAACAAAAACATAAATTTTAAAATAAAAACATTAAAATTTAAAAAATATGAAAATATGAAGACAAAAGTTATAATTAAATATTTAATTTATTATAAAATATAAAAAATTAAAAATATAAAAAAAGTTTCATACTTATTACAATCATTTATAATTATTATTATTTTATACCAACGTTTTAGAGGAATACCAAGTCCTCTTTATATTCGTAGTCATGTGAAAATATAAATGATTTATATTTGTTTAATGAGAAAAATAATGGTGCATTGGCGATATAAATTATTTTTACACTATCAATCAATTATAATTATATATTCTGTCAAATTTATAAAATTTTAAATTATTTGTATGATTTAACATTTTAAAATACTTTGATTGAATGAATAAGTGTATTAAAATAAAAGTTAGTTGATTTGGATGATTATCGCTTGACTCGATAAAAATGACCACAATTTAATCCTCACTCATACAATTGGAAGAGCTGAACCACTTAATGCCAAAAATGACTCGGAACTGAATTATTTTTAAAATAATTGTTACTAACTATTTAAAATATCTTTACCGTGAATATCAAGTAAAATTTTAATAAAAAATATTTATTAATAAAAAAGTATAAAAAATAAGAAAATTAATAATTAAATCTCAATTATTCATTAATATCACTATGTTATAATTTATATTAAAAATAAATTAAATTAAAATAAATCTAAATTTATACTTTAAAATAATAATAAATATATATTTTATATTTTTTTTATTGAAATGATTCTTATTATATAGTATCATTCAAATTTAATTTAAAAAAAAAACTAATAAATTATTGAAACAAAAAAAACAAAAAACCGAATGAAGGAAGAAAAGTTAGCATATATAAATTTTTTTTAACCTCAATCCTAAACCAAATCCAGTTTCTCTCTCACCCTCACACCCTCACACCCCAAACATTCATTATCTCTTCTAGGGTTTCTCCCCCCTCCAAAAATTCCATCCCCAATCTGTCGAATTTCGTCACGTTCATAGAGGCACACTCTTCTAGGGTTTTCCAATCGCAATGCCGCTTCCGACGAAACCAATGAGGCCACCACATGAACCCGGCCGAGACTCCGAGGAATCGTCGACTCCTTCCAATAACCTATGGGTTGGAAATCTAACGCCGGACGTTTCCGATTCCGATCTGATGAACCTTTTCGCTCAATATGGCGCACTCGATAGCGTCACCTCTTATTCCGCTCGCAGTTACGCTTTCGTCTTCTTCAAACGCGTTGAAGATGCAAAAGCCGCTAAAAACGCGCTTCAAGGCTTCCATTTTCGTGGCAATTCATTGAAAATTGAGTTTGCTAGACCGGTTCGTTCTCACTTTTGCGCTCTCTTAAATTTCACTTTCCCTTCGGATTCATGTATTATTAATGTTTATTCTAATCTAATTTTCTTGCTTTCTTTCAACAATTCAATTATTCGTTTTGCAATATTGCGTTCAGCGCTTCGTATATTTTATTCAATTTTTATCGTTGCGTGCGGCGTGCACTCTCAGTGCTCAAACCGAATCCATAATTTATTCGATTTTCGTACTATTTTTCTTAGTACACATCAAATTCAACGATGGAACCTCGAGAATCACGTTTAAGCCAAAAAATTAGGGTATGTTTCGATAACCTTCGTTATTCATGATTGGATTTAGATCTAATCGGGCAAACCTTTCTCATATTTGTTTGATAAAATTTAGACTCAAATTCATGTTCATATTCAATTAAAATTTAGCGTGTTGTTAAATTTAAAATTGAAGGATAATTTATAATTTATAATATCGAAGAACTTTTTAATTTAGGTGCGAATATTTGATTCTCGAATTCGGATTGGTATAATTTGTTGGCATAATCGGTGGTAATTTAGCAATCTAAATCTTATTCTATTGTTTAATAATTATAATTATGTATATATATATATATATATATATATATATATATATATATATATATATATATATATATATATATATATCTCGAATCTCAAAGTGATTTTGAAAGCCTGTTTTGTGATTGGTTTATTAAGGCACGAAATTGTGTTGTTTCTTCAAACGACGTAAAATGTTAAGTGATGAATTCACGAACCTTCTACTTGGTATTTACCAATGCTTTAAAAAACATTTGCTCTAACTGCTGTTAGAAATCAATAAAATCAAGCAGTCATTGCTTGAGTTATAACCATTCTTAGAGCAGAATTCCTCATTGCGTTGAAAGTTATCATTGCGTAAGTTGTATCCATTGGTAGAGCAGAATTCGTCATTGCGTCAAAAGTTGTAACCACTCGTAGAGCATAATTCTTCATTGCGTTGAAATCTGTCATTGCGTCGAAGGTTGTAACCATTCGTAGAGCAGAATTTGAAACCCCGTCAATTGAACATTTGGTTTGTGAATCTTGACAATATTATTTACGGGAATAATTTTTGAACACTGCAAATTTTACATCAATCCAGAATAAGTGCAGGGGCTGTAAATTATCATTAGCATAAACATTAAACAACTACAAACAGTGTTTAACACCAAATTACATAGCTTTGGTTTTTCTTTTTCTTTTTCAACTTTGGGTAAAACCAAGTAGTTTTTTTTTATAAAAAAATGTTGTATGTATTTTTAAAGAAAAGTTGTAGATTTAGAGAACATAATACAGAGCATGGGAAGTGATGCATTTGGGGTCTGAAATTGCTGTAAATGAGCTTAATTAGAAAAGCGCGCATCTAATTTTATCTGAAGGATACAAAATCAAGTGTTAGTTTTCAATTCTCATCTAAATGCTAAACTTCTCTCTATAAAGCTGGTTTCAACTTTTTATCTTTTCGCACGTACAAGGCTAATTTTCCAGAGAACATGCCTCAATGGACAAATCCGAACAATTTCAAAACAATCCCTATTACCACGTCAAAACAATCTTAGTCCCTCAAATACTACAACATGAATGCTAAGAAAGTAAAACAAATAAAAATAACACTGATATTTATCCATATAAGCAACAATCAAGCGTAAGTATCATGAACTGTGCTCATATACAGGAATACCAAATCTAATTAGCAACCTGGCATCTAATTATAACAGGCACCGTTTTCTTTTAAAAGTCCTGCTGTTCTATTAAATAGTTGTAAGTAGAAGGTGCTTTAAATTTCCGAAGGACTTGCAGGAAGACATAATTTCAATTGTGTGGAGCTGGAAATACGTTATGTATTATTGCCAGATAACCAGTAAATGAAAATTCAATTGCGTGGAGCTGGAAATACGTCATATTATTATTATTATTATCAGATAACCAGTAAAAGAAAACTCAATTGTATGTTAATATTATTATAGTAGAAGTTATAGTAGAAATAGTATTGGACAATCAGTCACACACAGAAGGGATTCTAGTTCTCAAGGTTGTTGTATTTTTTTCAGAGTCGGCAACAACAAAAGTTAGATTGTAACTTTTTAACAAATTATTCTAATCTAATGTAATTAGGATCTTTGACTTCCAACAAACTTTCAATGTATCCATGGCTTAGGTCTGTTGGCCCGCTATGGAACTAATCCCCAAATTGGCAGTAAAACAACTGATTTTTTTTACCAGGGCCGCTGTACTACCTTCAGTGTTATCAAATAGCGGCGCCATGGCTGCAATGTGGATGCACATGGCGTTTTCTGGGCTCGCCGCAATGATACAAATCAGCCAATATGGTGGGATTTTGGCTCTCCACCATGGAACGCCATCCACCATCAACAACACTGCCTTTCAAATGACCGACTCCAGGAATCAATTCCTAGTTTTTTCTTGAGAGAGAGAGTCAAGTTGCCAACTCTCCCAACACTTCGTTGGTTTTATATATTTTAATCTCTGCAGGGACAGTCTTTGTGCTAGAATCTCTGCAGGGACAGTGCTTTGTGCTATTCTCTTTTATTCTGCAGTATTGTCTCTCCCATCCCTAGTTCTATTCTATTACTTTTCAAATCTCTGCAGGGACAGTACTTTGTGCCAGAACTTAACCTTAGATATTTTAATCCTTTTTTACAAATGTAGCCATCACAAAAATAATTTCATTAACTATGTCACGTGCATAGCATTTTTGCACTAGGTGGAGTTGACCACATGGATCAACGATGCCATAATGTCCCTTGTCTACCCATTTTTATTTATTTATTTATTCTTGGCCACCTCAAGATACGAATTTGTTTTCAACAGTTTGACTGTTAAATTTGAAGTAAGTGCTGTCAAAATTGAGAAGTGATGGTTGCCTTTGAATATCTTGAAGCAAGTTTACAATTTTCCTTTAGTAGTAACATATTCTTTTGATTGTAACATGTTTGTTTCTCTTTAGAAATCTCTAAATGAGGATGCTAAGATATATGTTCCTTATAATTTGTGTTTAACCAAAGATGCTGCTATTTTCAGGCAAAGCCATGTAAACAGCTTTGGGTGGGTGGCATTAGCCCAGCTGTTACAAAGGAAGACTTAGAAGCCGACTTCCGTAAGTTTGGTAAAATTGAGGATTACAAGTTCCTCAGAGACAGAAATACCGCATGTGTTGAATTTTTCAATTTAGATGATGCTATTCAGGCAATGAAAATCATGAATGGAAAACGTATTGGTGGGGAAAATATTCGTGTTGACTTCCTCCGCTCACATTCTACAAGAAAAGTAAGTCTGTACTTTAGAATGCTGTTTTTGTTTCTTGTTCTTCAACTTCTTTATGTTAAATAGTTACATATTGTTGTACAAACATCCTGATGTCCCATGGTAGGATCTATAATTTCAATTACCTTTTGAAAATAGCTTATGCCAGAATGTTATTTCTTGTGTTAATAAATAAATCATATGAGTGAACTACCTTTTTGTGAAGCTTTTTACATTTTAAAAATTGATTTTGGTTGCTTGTATTGTAAGATTTGTCTGATTTGGTCATTAGTGTTTTGGACGTAGTATTTAGTTTCATTTCAATTACTTCGTCATTGATGTTTTTTAGAAATTGGTGGATTCCGTGTTAGCCACTGATTCAGAATATAGAATAAAAATTATGTTCTATGATAGAAACCTCTATTACACTCAGGCATTGGAGAAACCTGCAACTTTCCCTTCCCTCCCTCTTATTTGTAACCTATCATATTCTCTCATTTTTGTGACTATTCAACTAACCAAGAGGGTTGCCTAACATTTATTTGTTTCTGCTTATAATGTTTGCTCTTTTGTATGTTTTCATACGTCTAATATTTCCTTTTCTGTTTTCTGTAGGATCAATTTCTTGATTATGGGCAATTCCAAGGAAAAAGCTTGGGGCCTACTGATTTCTATTCTGGACAAAAAAGGCCACTGGTGAGAATGCTGCGCTATGTGCATCTAATTGGATGTGAATCGTGTATTAGTCCTGTTCATCTATTTGTCATTTGTCGTTGCCTTGTTTGATGTGATGTGTTGCCATTTAAAAAACCGAACACTGTTAAGACTTGCATGCACCTACTTGTATAATGGTTGATGTTATCTTTATTTTGGTATCTTGAATTTTATTAGTTTTACTTATAAAAAATTGTTCTCGTGTCAACAGAATTCACAACCTCAAATGGGGAGGAAGGGTGATGGTCACCCTAGTAATATTTTGTGGATTGGTTATCCTCCCAATGTTCAGATTGATGAGCAAATGCTCCACAATGCCATGATTCTATTTGGTGAAATTGAGAATATCAAGAGTTTTCCTTCAAGGCATTATTCATTTGTTGAATTTAGAAGTGTCGATGAAGCCCGGCGTGCAAAAGAGGGCCTTCAAGGACGCCTTTTCAATGATCCTCGCATAGCAATCAATTATTCAAACGGTGACCAGGTACGTGGCAAAGATTACCCTGGCTTCTATCCTGGTAGTAATGGGCCAAGACCTGATTTATTCTTAAATGAGCATCCATATGGACCGTTACAAATGGATATATTCGGTCATAATCGTCCTATGGTTCCAAATAATTTCCCTGGACATTTGCAAACTGGTGGTATTGTTGGTCCAAACATGCCAATGCGGCCTTTTGGTCCTCAAGGTGGTCCTGGATCTGTTGTTTCTGGCCCTGATTTTAACGAGAGTAGTACATTACACAAATTTCAGGATAGTAGCTTGACAAATAAGATGGGTCCAAACTGGAAAAGACCATCTCCTCCTGCACCAGGGTTGCTTTCTTCCCCTGCAACGGGTGCTAGGCTTCCCGCAAGATCAGCTTCTGGTGCATGGGATGTACTTGATGTAAACAACATTTCAAGAGATTCTAAGCGGTCTAGGATAGATGGTACATTACCTAATGATGAAGCTCCATATGCTGACATTCATGGAAGGGGTATTCTTGGTCCAGGAAGCTCGAGGGTAACAGGTGGAGTACATGCTTCTGTCCAACCTGGTGATATGGATCATATATGGCGCGGACTTATTGCAAAAGGAGGATCTCCTGTTTGTCATGCTAGATGCATCCCTATAGGGAAAGGGATAGGGACGGAGCTGTGAGTATAATTTTAATGGTTTTTTATATTTTGATTTAATTTAGTAAATATGAAAGAGGACTTTTTCTTCCAATAAGTTTCTTTCTGCTGACTTCTTTTGCATTTTACCTCCATCTCCCTTATTGCTGGAAAACTCTCTTGTAACAAATGGTATTTCATTAGCGTATGATAGATTTTCTGAGGGAAATATGTAGGTTCTATGAATTTTATTTGTTTGTGCTTCAAGCTAGCTTTTCTAGTGTAAATTTGTCCATTGTATCATTAGGAAGAATGCTGTTCTTATTGCAATATTGCTCCTTACATTTATTTCTAAAAAAAGACTATTCTGAACTTTATTTATTTTTGGTAAATAAGGTAACCAGCAAGCTCTCGGTGTTTTCTCAAACATAAGCAATTGCCCCATAGTTTTTAGAAATAGGCCCATTTACTTTTTTCCTTGAAAACAGTCAAAAGGTATACCTGTCTTCAGGATCTTGTTTGGAGGCTGTATTAAAGCTTGTTTTATTCTTTTACTGCAGTCCGGAAGTTGTTGATTGCTCAGCTAGGACGGGATTGGATGTACTTGCAAAACACTATGCTGATGCAATTGACTTTGAGATTGTTTTCTTTCTGCCTGATAGCGAAGATGATTTTTCTGCGTACACTGAATTCTTACGCTACCTTGGTGCAAAAAACCGTGCTGGTGTTGCCAAATTTGGCAATACAACTTTATTCTTGGTACCTCCTTCTGATTTCCTGACAAAAGTTTTGAAAGTCAATGGACCTGAACGTTTATATGGCGTCGTTCTCAAGTTTGCACCAGTACCAAGTGTGCCCATGCACCACTCTTCACAAATGCCTACACCATCGTCAAATCAATATACGCAGCAGTTTCCTCCTTCACAGGCTGAATATGATATGAATCCTGCAAAGGACGATCAGGTTCTGCCAATGGACTACAACAGAATGTTGCATGAAGATTCTAAGCTTCCTGCTAAGCAAGTATATCCACCTATAGGTGGGCCTTCAGTTCAATCTGCAGCTCCGGATTATGCTCCAAATACTGCTTCTGGGTCTCAAGCTGGAGTCGCATTAACACCAGAACTTATTGCGACTTTAGCTTCTTTTCTTCCAACAAATACGCAATCATCTGCTACCGATAGTGCCAAGTCGGCTGTAGGCTCCTCAACTGTAAAGCCTCCATTTCCTCCTGTGGCACCTAATGATGGAAACCAATCTCAATTATTGAAACAGGATCATCAAATTGCAGATCAATCCATTCATCCACCTCAGCAGTTTAGGAATATGTATAACAGTCACAATGCTCATTTTCAGCCTTATCCGTCAGCATCAGCTCCTGGTCACACTTCTCAAGTGTTCTCTGGAAGTTCTCATACTCAAGACAGTGCTCTTATCCAGCAACTGCAAGGAGTTGTTTCATCTAGACACATGTCAAATTTTGTGACACCCACTCAAAGTGGACAGATACCTGCATCCCCCCATTTCAGTCATCAGTATCAGGCTGAGGTTCCCCCCAATTCTCAGAAAGGCTTTGGTGTGGTGCCGGGAGGTGATGCCTCTGTTTTATACAATTCTCAGGCTTTCCATCAACCTAATAATAACCCCCAGCCCTTCCAGCAACCCAATAATTCTATTGCCTTGTCTGGTCAAGCTAGCAGTACAAATCCTCAACATCAACCTGTCATGCAATATACAGCCGACCAAATAAACTCCAATCCTCCCAGTCAGCAACATCCTGCCTTTGGAGTTAGTCAAGGCACCCCAGAATTGGAAGCTGATAAGAACCAGAGATACCAGTCAACATTACAGTTTGCTGCCAATCTTCTACTCCAAATACAGCAGCAGCAGCAAACACAAGGAGAACATGGGCCAGGAATTCAACAATGATAATTGTTTTCTGTAAGTAACATCCTATAGTTAATTTTTTTGATCTAGTGATATCCTTTATAGATCATTCCTGCAATTCACTTACCTTAGCTGGATTTTTCAACATAAGAAATTCTGACCATATTTACATTCTTTTCCCAAATTCTTTTTGTCAGAAACATGTAACTGTGTTACATATGAATTTCTGGTTACAGCTTGATGCAACTGTTAGTGTAAATGATCTGCGGGCTCTAAACCTGCATCATGTAAACTATATACTTGAGTAGTATACATTTCTCAAGTATAATTATATAGAACCTACAAATAGAAATTAAGCACTTGTAGACAACGTTTGGTATGAACTGCTATGGTCCAAAGCCGTCTGAGGAGGATCGAATAATGTACTTGGTTTTGCATCCTTTAACATAATTTTACCAAACTAATATTGCTAGTAGTCTTTGGTAGAACTGTTATCAATCTGACTGATTACAAATTTCAAAACATTAACTCTGTACCAATCCCTTTAGTATTCACATAAATATAACTTACTATAGTTGTAGCAATTAGTTATTAAGTATCATGTTATTTTCTTTTTTGATATACGTCATATTGTGACATAAGCTCTCGGCATAGTGCCTGAACACTGCTCTACTGTACATGCATGATAATTGCTTTTGCTTCTTTTTGTATTCAATTGTTTTTTAACTATAGGCTGTGATCTCCCCTTTTTTTCTTCCTCTTGGGAAGGTAGTTTTTAGAGTTGGAAATCCAGTTACTCTTAACTTATTTTACTGTGAGGTGTAATTTCCACCATGTAAGGATCTTAAATGTGCTTCTAAAGATTATTTGAAGATAATTTGCTCAGGTTAAATTTGTATCTTTAAGCTGCCATTGTTTACTCAAATATAATGCCAACTGAAATTTATAGCGACCGTGAATATAATCCTAATGAGTTTTCCAACCTGTTTGAGTGATTTTTTCCATCTTAAAGTCCTAACTGCACTTCGTAAATTTAAGGACATCGCTAAAACATTCACGTGGTTAGTCTCATTATTGCAGTTGGAATGCGCTGAATGCCAGATTTTGTACGACTTACTGATAAGCTTTCCCTGTGAAAATTAACAGAGCCAGTTTCAATATATTTTATAAAACTTGAAAAATAAGAGTGTATCAGATTGTATAATAATAAATTAACAAGTAAACTGAAAATTGCTCGTCATGTTTGTTCCTGTTCGTCTTTAGTCCTTCATGGCTGTTTCGAATGCGTCTGCTACGAAGTCTCATTGTTTTTAGAAAAATATTGAATCTGGCAACCAAGTTTCTTTGTCATTCACTAAGCCTGTTCTATTTGCACATTTGAATAATTCTTAATTTAAAGATGTAACTAAGTAAGTGATTCGATTCGATTGATTAATGATGAATCATTTTGAAGAATTAAAATTAAAATTTTGAAAGAAAAGTAAACAAATTTGGTTAGAATGTATTTAGCTTTCGATGAACTCCGAATCAAACATCCGTTTACTTGATAACTTAAAAGTAAATGAAACAAATCTGGTTTAGTAATCTTTATAAGTTTGTAACAAAATAATGAATGATGTATATTCCAACCCAATTTACGTGGGAAGAAAGTGAATTAACAATGGTTGTACGCATTTGAACATAACTATCTAATTAATAATGATTTGTTTACTTTTTTTTAACAGGTTTGCAAAAAATAATTTACTATTTTGTACGCTAAATGAATGGACGCGTAGGTTCTGTGGTCAGAGAGACGCTTGTACGGACAAAGGTGAAGAACGACTATCTTGCGAATTCGGCCGAGATTTCTAAAATCTTATTTTCTCATAAGGATATTTGGTTTCTTTATTTTTTGGGTTAGCATACCAAATTGTAAGATGGAAATTAATTAATTTTTTTTTTTTTTCTGTTTAATCACATTACGTTTTTCCATCTCAATTGGAAGCCGATTGCGATTCTCTCTAGTTACTTTGTGTGTCATTTCGTTGTAACTATTAAAATTGGAATAAACTATCAAGTTAATCATTCAAGTATTTCTCACTCCAATTTAATCTATCAATTATATAAATATGACTTAATCTATCAATTATATAAATATGATAAATTTGTTTTTAAACTATGTAAAATTCATCAATTTCGTTTTTGAGGTTTATAAAACCTGTAAATTTAATTTCTAACATTTTATTAATCATAAATAAATTGATAGATTTTATATACTTCAAAATTTAGTTGTTATTGTAGCTGTTGTATTTAGGGGTGTTCAAAATCAAATAGGTCTAATAGAAAATCGTAAAACTGAATTAAATCGAAACAGTAAAAATTTGTATTTGATTCGGATGTGTTTGAATCATTTTCTCGCAGAACCGCACGGTTCAGTTTGGTTTGCGGTTTGTGTTTTATAAACTGAACTAAATCAAACAAAATCATATTACGTTATAAAATCTTACTAACCAATATATATTTCTTTAATTCTTTAGAGAAATCAACATTTATCACGTGCATATTTTATCATATTTTGTATTATATTTATTTTAATTTACAAATCATAAAAAAATAAAATATTATTTATTTATAAATATTATTTTCACAAAAGATATTTTATCGTATTTTTTGTATAATATTTATTTAAGAATGCGTTTATATTATTCTTTAGATTTAAATAAAATTATAATACGTAATATGTATCAGATTATAAACTTATTTTGATAATTATAATTTTTTTTTATGGTAATGTATGAATAATGAAACACAAAATTATATTTTCCTCTATATTTATATGTATGACATAATAATTTTTTTTTGTAAAAAATCGAACCAACCGAATCAATTCAAACCGCATTAATTTAGTTTGATTTGATTCAATTTTTTTTTTAAAAGTCAACCAAGCCAACTTAAACCACATATTTTTTTCTCTCGCGATTCAGGTAATATTTTGTTTTAAAATCGCCCAAGTCGCACCGCGAACACTCCTGAATATACTTATAATTGTAGTGATCATGTCTTAGATAAGCAAGAGGTCTTTTTAAGACTATGATTTGTACGAAAAATGATCCCTAGGCTTTTGAATAGGTGTATATAGTCTTTTAATACCTAACGGGACATGCTGAGTTTTAGCTTTTTTTCTGGATAATTTCTCTTAACATTCTTATATCCATGGTAAAGTTTTCAAAATATATTCTGTTTTCAGAAATATTTCTTTGAATGCATTAAATTTTTTTTTTTTTTTTTGTAAATATTTAATTTAAAAATATATTTTTGAATTTTTTTAAGGTTGACCCGGACATATAACTATGAAAATATCATTTGTTTAAATTACCATCAATTTCTATAATAATGACAAATAATTTTATATATTTTTATGACTAATATAAAATTGTATTTATATTTGAGTTATATATTTAGAATAAATAGAATATTTATTGACACATAAATTATATATTTTCTTGACTAATATAGAAATTTTTATATATGTAATTTTCTTGATGATAATTGAAAATTGAAACATATATTAGTCAAAATATTACCATCAATTATTAACATAGAAATTATCATCAATATATCATTTATAATTTATACAGTATATTACTAATATATTTCTATAAAGTGGTTCCAATTTTCATTCGAACGTTTGTAATTTTCATATTATTAATAAAAATATTTTTATAAACTTTCGCATACATATATATATATATATATATATATATATATATATATATATATATATATATATATATATATATATATATATATATATATATATATATATATATATATATATATATATATATATATATATATATATATATATATATATATATATATATATATATATATATATATATATATATATATATATATATATATATATATATATATATATATATATATATATATATATATATATTTTGTTGGGAGATATTGATGAACATTTTTATATTAGTCAAATTTTTTATTTATATATTTTCGGAGATATTGATGGTAATTTCTATATTACTACTCAGAGATATTTGATGATATTTGATGGTACCATATTAACACATAAATATTAAAAATATTGATGATAATTGGAATAAATGGTATTTTCTGAGATACATATCTGAATTAACCTAAAAAAAATCGGAAATGTATTTCTGAACTAAAGTTTTTGTAAAAAGTGAGTTTTGGTGCGTCTGAAGATATATCTTCAAAAAAACCAAGAACATTTTGGGGTTTTCAGAAGTGCGACCAACACCATAGGAGTGGAATGAGAAATTGTCATTTCCTCGACCTTGACTAGGCCGACTCTGCTCAGGCCTGAGGTGGGTTGAGAAAGTTTTATGACGTGGTGATGTAGCCCACGTGGCAAGCATGTGATCTAATTTTTTGAACCCAATTTAAAATCTCTCGTGCATGAAAAGCGAAGTGATTAAGGAGATATATGAGATTCACGATCTCTGAAGTTTGTAAAGCCAAGTCAGTAAGGAGAGACAGGATAATTCTTAGCCTCTCAAGTACGGGGTTTGTAAATCTGAAGTCATTAAAAATGCGATGTTACTTAGAGAATATGATCCTCTTTACTTTAAAATTGAGGTTGAAGTAATTACAGTCGCGTGATTGGAAATAATTAAGGCTTTCTATCCAATAGTTCATTTTGAAGGTTGTTAATCTTTCTATCAAACGACCTTACTTAACTCATATTCCTTGAGAAAGACCATTTGATTTTGGCCTTTTATCATGCACATTTTTGGACAACATGTCATTAGTTTTCTAACAGAGTCATGATGAATGTTGGCGCATGTTAATTCTCTATTTTTATAGTTGGCATTAATTTTGGTAAAACCAATTTGGAAGCAACATGTTATATAAGATGTTCTAAACTTGCAGGAAGAACATGTTGAACACGATATCCTATTCAGATTATCCGACATCTTGTCTGATACAGTTGTTCTCTTAGATTTATTCTATTTTAACAGTGTTATTTTTCTGAAATTATGATTGACGTGAGTTTTGGTAAAACTAACTTT